AGAGAGAGAGAGAGAGAGAGAGAGAGAGAGAGAGAGAGAGAGAGAGAAAAAAAAATTAGCATATCATGAAAAGGTTTTCTAAACAAGCTATTAACCTAACCATCTGAATCAACAACATAACTCTAAACACCTGCAAAAGATTCCTGAGGCTTTTAAAAACTCCCAGCCTTGTTCATTACTCAAAACCGCAATCATGGGTAAGACTGCCGACCTGACTGCTGTCCAGAAGGCCATCATTGACACCCTCAAGCAAGAGGGTAAGACACAGAAAGAAATTGCTGAACGAATAGGCTGCTCCCAGAGTGCTGTATCAAGGCACCTCAGTGGGAAGTCTGTGGGAAGGGAAACGTGTGGCAGAAAACGCTGCACAACGAGAAGAGGTGACCGGACCCTGAGGAGGATTGTGGAGAAGGGCCGATTCCAGACCTTGGGGGACTTGCGGACGCAGTGGACTGAGTCTGGAGTAGAAACATCCAGAGCCACAGTGCACAGGCGTGTGCAGGAAATGGGCTACAGGTGCCGCATTCCCCAGGTCAAGCCACTCTTGAACAAGAGACTGCGTCAGAAGCATCTCGCCTGGGACTGCTGCTGAGTGGTCCAAAGTTATGTTCTCTGATTACAGTAAATTTTGCATTTCCTTTGGAAATCAAGGTCCCAGAGTCTGGAGGAAGAGAGGAGACACAGAATTCACATTGCATGAGGTCAAGTTTCCACAGTCACTGGGGTGTCATGTCATCTGCTGGTGTTGGTCCACTGTGTTTTATCAAGGGCAGGGTCAATGCAGCTAGCTATCAAGAGATTCTGAAGCACTTCATGCTTCCATCTGCTGAAAAGCTTTATGGAGATGAAGATTTCATTTTTCAGCACGACCTGGCACCTGCTCACAGTGCCAAAACCACTGGTAAATGGTTTACTGACCATGGTATTACTGTGCTCAATTGGCCTGCCAACTCTCCTGACCTGAACCCCGTAGAGAACCTGTGGGATATTGTGAAGAGAAAGTTGAGAGACGCAAGACCCAACACTCTGGATGAGCTTAAGGCCGCTATCAAAGCATCCTGGGCCTCCATAACACCTCAGCAGTGCCACAGTTGCCTCCATGCCACGCCGCATTGAAGCAGTCATTCATGCAAAAGGATTCCCGACCAAGTATTGAGTGCATAACTGAACATGATTATTTGAAGGTTGGCGTTTTTTGTATTAAAAACACTTGTCTTTCATTGGTGGGATGAAATATGCTAATTTTTTGGGACAGGCATTTTGGGTTTTCATGAGCTGTATGCCATAATCATCAGTATTAAAACAATTAAAGACCTGAAATATTTCAGTTGGTGTGCAATGAATCTGAAATATATGAAAGTTTCATTTTTATCATTACATTATGGAAAATAATGACCTTTATCACAATGTGCTAATTTTTTGAGAAGGACCTGTATATATATATATATATATATATATAATTTTTTTAATTATTTATTTATTTATTTATTTTTTCTCCATGTGGACAAACAGAATATTGAGTCCCTGCTGGGTATGTCACATTTGGATTTTGCACAGCTCCACAGCTTCTCAATAATTGTAGAGTTTTATGAATATCTGAAGTATTTATATACTGTAAATCTGTGTTTTGCATTTTGCTATGAATTATTATATATTTTTTAATATTACCAAGCATGAATCTTTATGATTCTTTAGCATTTATAAGTATTTCATGACTTCTTTGGGTGACACATAATGAAAAAATAATTTTTTGTTTGTTTAGGAATGACCATAAAAAAATCAGTTGTTCTCATCTGCACTAAATCAGCAGGTCAATGAATAATGTATTAGTTTTTATATTGTTTTTTCTAAGTCACACTCCACAGATGCCATAAGGGTGTATTACCAGACATTATTTTTACCAGAGGTTTCAGTGGATTATTTACGCATAATATATTTCAAAATTAACTCAATTTAAGCATTTTCTCATGCCAAGATGTCACATAAGCTAATATTTGTAGCCTATATTTGTTTATTTATTTTCAGTTAGAAGAAAAGGAGTACAGAAAGTAAACGACAATTGATCTGCTACAAATATTTCTCACAGAAGATTAAGTTAGCACTGAGCAAGATAATAATAAACTGATAAAAGAAGAGGTTGATACACTCTTTGTTTACATGTCAGTATCTTCGTTTTTTTTTTGTTTTTTTTTTTGCATCAGGTGGACTTTGCAAACAGGTTTGTAGGTGGTGGAGTTACAGGACATGGACTGGTCCAGGAAGAAATCAGGTTCCTCATCAACCCGGAACTTATTGTGTCTCGCCTTTTTACTGAAGCTCTGGAATACAATGAATGCCTCATCATCACAGGTGTGTTGTCTTTTTTCCCCCATTTCACTCACTCAGACATTTATATTCTTATCACTCAAGCTTTAATTTGTAGAACATCAGTTACTGGTCTTCAAGTACCTTGGGAACTTTTGATGTTTTTTTTTTCTCCAGTGTTGGTCTTAGAAGGACTTCTTCATATATTTTATGTTTTATACTCACTGTAAATGGTCTTTTCAGTTTTCATTGCACTGATTTATTTGAAGGCACAATGTTATTTCTTCCTCCAAGTAGAATGGCTTTGTGTTTTAAAGTTTACATCTAAAGGCTGATTTATATTCAATTTGAAGCCCCATTCTTGTGTCTTGGTGACATTGGTGCTTTTGAAAATTGCATAGTTTTCTACTTTACCACACGCTGACACCCTGTCTTCTGCATTGCCCCCAGTCAGAACTAGTTTTTTACAGGACATGCGATGAGCATTGTGTGACTGTTCTGAACTTCTTGAGCATGTTTGTTTATGTAAAGTACAGTGAGCTGATCTCGAAGCATCTGATGATCTGTTGGTGATCGGCTGTGAGAAAATGTATCCAAACTTACAACTGTTCCAGCAAAAATGATAAAGATAGTCAAATAAAACTTATGGAGATTTAATAAGAACTTGTGGAAGGAGTGCAGTTTTGTGCACGTAGGAGACCGCATGGCGAACCGGCAGCTTACCATGGCTGTACTGACAGAGTGCACCTCCCCAAGCAGCTGTGACAGTGATGACCAGGGGGGAGTATGCCTTGGTAGGGACACGTTCTTGCATGCTCTATTGGAAACTGTGGTGGTTTCTTTTTGATAAATGTACAAAATGGCACTTCTTCTCCATTAACAACAGAAATACCAGATCTGCATCCAACTCCTCTATCATGAACTGAAAACTGCTAACCTCGCTGTCTGTATTATTGTCTAAGTGATGACGCTAACTTCTCAATTCAGTCTTCATTGGTAAGAAACATACAAGAGAAGACTGCTATGCATGTTCCTGTCAGCCTGTATGTACATGTACAATATGTACAGTATGTATAACTTGGCATTTACTGCCACGTACAAAGTGGACATATGTTGATCACTTGTGTAATTCAGAAGCATTTGTACACATTTGGTTTACCACTGTTATTTTTGCCAAGTTAAAGATGATGTGAAAGATGGAGATCTATTTTCTAATAGACTCTTCCAGATATTGAAAAAATGACTTAATTCATTAATGAATCAGTTGATTTCTTTTGAAACATTTATAATTATTATATTGTTGAGGCTACATTTTATGTAAGGCAACGATTTTAATGTGATGTATTTACTTTAATGGCACAAACGAGATCACTGGCCTGTGTGATTTTCTCTTTGGCTTGAAGAAATGTATTATTATTTAGCTGTGTGTAAACACAAGCTCAAAGAAAAAAATGGAGGTAATTCTGCTGGTGCATGTCTTTTTTTTCAAACATTCTACCTAAGAGTTTTTTTTTAAGAATGAACCAAGTTGTACTTCAATCAATGGGCTTTACTCATTGTTTTTAGACTGTGTGATAACAATGAAGCAGAAAACTATTAGCATAAGTCGTCCCCTGCTTCCCTCAAACAACACCCACTTACCCTGGCAGTTCCCCTAAAAACACAATGAATAATTGCTTTGTCTCTGTACAGTCTGTATTGTGCGGCGCCAAGTTGTCCTCTCAAACTTTCATCTCTCTCTAGTGACCTTCATTGCCAAGTCACTGTCCCCCTCCTTGCCTTCCATTATTCGCCGCCTCCTCCTCTTCCTCCTCCTCCTCCTCTTCCTCCTCCTCCTCTCCACTTAACATTATTACATTTAGACAGAAAGGAATTTATTGCCCAACTAAGGTCATCGCTCCACTAATGGAATGAGCTCACTGCGCCGAAGATTCATTAAAACCTTCAGAATATTCCATGCACGTTTGTAGTGTTTCTTCTAAAAGTCTTGACTCCGATTCAAGTGAGTCTTCAAGTGCATTTAGAAGCTTGACGCAACTTGAAAGATAAAACTCAAATGTAAATGTGAGTTTCCTTGGGGGGGTGGGGGTGGGGGGGGTGGGGGTTTTAGATCGGAAGGTAGTGATTCCTGATGTAATCTATTAATGGAAGCTTGTTTCGCAGGATGCTGTCATAAGCATTTACCAGGCTAAATTGGTTTAAAGTGAAGGAGGAAGAGGTCAGTTCCTTTGATAGATGAAATGATATAGATAGCTTGTTCCTAAAAGCTAGGTGGCGCTTTTGTTGTATAAAGCACTCTTAAATGGTTGTTGGCAAAGGGTGTAGAGTAAATGTACCTTTTCTTAACCAAATTAAAACATATTTATAAATACAAACAAAAAGGGTACTTTAGGTACAGGTTAGTTTTGTTCTGGAAAAAAAAAAAACAGCAAAGAAGCTTTTGATTCTTGAAATATAATCACCAAGCACAGAGACCTTTCCATATTTTTGTGTTCTTTGTTGACACTTGTTGATACCCTTTAAAAATATATTATTTTAAAAAATATATAGTTCTTTTGTCCTTGGAGATGCATGTGACAAAATCTAGGACGGTTTAAGATGGGTTTGAGACACTGACCTTCGACTGACCATTTGTAGATGAACAGATGCTGGGATATATTCATCATTTAACGCGAGTTCCTCATTTTTCTGGACTGAATAAAACGTGCACTGAATTTAAGGAAATGCAAACGGGAGACGTCATTTAAATTTGACCCATCAAAATGAATGCGGTCATTTATTTACAGAATCAAATTTAACATCAAACATTTACATTAATTTGGCAAATTATGAAAATAACAACAAAGCAATCAATCAGGAAAAATCATACGGCCATGATTTCTCCGTTGCTGCACCAACAGACATTTATAACTGTACAACTATGATCTTTTACTTTTCTATCAAGTAGAAATTCTCCCAGATATTTAGAAATGTCTGTGTAAAGTGCTTATTCACATCCGTGTGGGTAAAAGTCATAGTTGTACAGTTTTATACATGTCTGTGGTGCAGCAACGGAAAGATCATGGCCGTATGATTTTTCCTGATTGATTGCTTTATTGTTATTTTCATAATTTGCCAAATTAATGTAAATGTTTGATGTTAAATTTGATTCTGTAAATAAATGACCGCATTCATTTTGATGGGTCAAATTTAAATGACGTCTCACGTTTGCATTTCCTTAAATTCAATGCACGTTTTATTCAGTCCAGAAAAATGAGGAACTCGCGTTAAATGATGAATATATCCCAGCATCTGTTCATCTACAATTCCAACTCTGAGTACCTGTGTGTCTCTCCGTGTCCCTGTGAGTCTGTGTAGACCAGGAAGTACTGACATTTTAAAGACTCTTTCCCGGTTCACTTTTTGGGATTTTTCATTGGTCAGAAACGACCAGAAGGGGTGTGTTTTTGTGACGTAAGGGGTTAGAGACAGCGAGAATTGTTATGAGACAGCTCAGAAATGTTCTCACAGACCGAGAGGGTTCTGTTTTGGCGTGCCTTAAGAAACAGGTGCAAAACATCTCTATTTACGTCTGAGAGGATTCTAAAACATGACAGTTTTAACATAACAACTTGTTTTTCGTTTGACTGTAACCTTGTAAACGCACACACTTGCTCATTCAAAAGCAGAAATCAGAAAAATGCATAAACTCTGCACAGCTTTTAACATGAGAATAAAATCATTACTCAGTTAATAAAATTGATTAGTTCACTGCAACATCTAAAATGGTTTGAACTAAGACACTTTGATTATCAACATTTGTAAGATAGTAATGATAATAAAAAGAGAGTGTTCTTTTCACTTGAATCTTCAAGAAAGAAAGTCTCAGGATGGGTGAACCTGTATTTATGGAGTCAAATACATGAAATGACAGCTTCTGTCCCACAAGGTTCTAAAGGTCAAGAGTTTTGACCTTAGACTGGGTTTCGACGTAGGCTTAGTCCACTACACATTTAAAAGAAAATTTGTTGAACAAATTTTATGAACCTTTTCAAAATTCAAGCAAACTAGACTGTGAGCCTCTGCAAAGTTAAGAAACGGAGACCCCCACAGACTTCACAAGACATTCTGGAGACTCATGAATGCTGTTCGCCAACTAGTTTCCAACAGTCGCAGCCTGCTGAGATATTACCTTTAAGTTATCAGAAGGAGGAAGCCTTGCTGTACATGTTTTAGGGGTGTGGGGTGTTGGTATATTGTTTAGTCTCTGGTATGAAGCTCTGACATTATATCACTACAGGTGCATTCATATCTACAGCTTAGCTGCATCAGTTCCATCTTGAAAGTTTTGTCTCTCATAAGAGGATACTGCGTTTTTCAAAAAGTTGACCGTAGAGTTGTTGAATGAAACGTCAGTACGTGAGTTGAAGGACTTTTTAAAGGCCCAACAAAAGCTGTATAGCATTTTTAATTATAGAAAGCTACTCTAGTACTCTCAGAAAAAGACACATTGAGTTGGAAATTAGCTCAATAAATCCTCTTTGATTTACAACACCAAACCCTGCAGAACTTCTACTCTAGTTTGCCAAAATATGCATCACTATTGCTGTGGGTTTTTGCTGCAGTCTGTAACCTTGAGTCACTTTTGGCATTAAAGGGACAAAAAATATATTACTGTAATTTTTCAGGTTTATTCCTCAAAATAAATACTACTGGTAGTCAAAGCATAAAATAGGAGCAGTATTTTTATGTATTCTTTTAAAAATAACTTCAAAAACATATTTTAGCTTTAGTGCTGGAAAAACCTGATGGAGGATGTAAAGGCTAAGCATGTAAAGGATAATTAAATTATCCAACAAAACATTTCAAATAATTTTGAAACGAACTATATTGAGCTATAAATCATTGCAGCGTTTGTAGAGAAAATCTTTTTTAGTAGCATTTGATGGTAAAGGGTTTGGGTTTGAAACTCTTGAAGCAGATTAGATAAAAACAACTATACTGTTTCATATGTGTGTGATGTTTATCATATTTGATAAATATCTTACAAACATAATTATGATTGGCTTATTCAGCACCAAACTTCACTTTTCTGCACTGTTTACATCTGATCTTATTGTGGCTTGACGCTTTTAATTTCAAAGCCTAAAGCAGATTACTTATGAAATCAATGGGCTTTATTTATGACAATCCAATAGGAGCTGATACTGTATACTCACATGGGGAGCACAGAAAGCACTAAATCTGATTTGGAAAATAAGGCGCTGAAACCGATTTGTACCTGCTGCGTGCTCCCAACTGCTGAGCACTGAATAATAGAATTTCCTCTCTGGCTTTGTCTTTCTATTTCCTGCAGGAACCGAACAGTACAGCAAATATACTGGTTACGCAGAAAGTTACAAATGGAAGGCGAGCTACGAAGATGAGACGCCCAGGTATTTTCTGTTTATATGTAAAACATAAAAAGGTTTTGAGTTCTCATCTAATGATTCAAAACCAGTGACTTACATTTGTAAGAAGGGGAGATGGGAGAATGTTAAATCTTACTTTTTGTTTTGCTTTTTTAAATTAATTTATTTAGAGATGACTGGCAGAGAAAATGTACAGAAATCGTGGCCATTGATGCTCTTAGATACAGACACTTTCTGGAGCAGTTTCTTCCTGAAAAGATAACCAGAGAACTCGACAAGGTAAGGGGAAAAAGGAACTATTATTCTACCTCACAACAGACGTTGCAAAAAAGATGCACAAAAACAAAACAACAAAGGCACACGTTTGATTAAATTACATCAGAATATATTTGAACAACATATCTATTCTGAAAAGTCTCTCTTGTGTATGTTTTCCCTCACTTATGCTTCTTTATGTACAATCTTTCCAGGCATACTGTGGATTCTATCGAAATAATGCCAACATGAAACATCTCTCTGCTATAGCCACAGGGAACTGGGGTTGCGGCGCTTTTGGTGGAGACACACGACTCAAAGGTACTATGGGCTGAAACACTGATATCGGTATGAAAAATATTCTTTTGGCTTTTCCCTCTTCAGGTGTCGTCACAGCGAGTCATCCTTCTCCATCTCACTTTGTCCTCTACATCCTGTCCTCACTCCGCCTACCTCCATGTCCTCTCTAACTACATCCATAAATCTTCTCTTTGACCTTCCTCTTTGTATTTTTTCTGGCAGCTACATTTCTAACATCCTTCTACCAATACTGTCCCTCCTCTGGACATGTCCAAACCATCTCAGTCTGGCCTCTCTAACTTTATCTTCCAGTTGGTCAATTTGTGCTGTACCTCTAATGATCTCATTCCTAATCTTATTCATCCTTGTCACTCCTAAGGAGAGACCTGATTTCAACAAAGAATGATGACAACAATGGACAACAGCGACAACAATAAACCGTTATAAAAAGGCATACAGATTTTTTTTTTTAACAAATAGGATGGCTAAAAAAAAGAAAAGTAACAAAAAACAGCTAGATTCTAAGGCAAATGTAGAAAACTAAAAGCAGGAACATGTCTGTATTGGTCCCTGCCAGGAGTCCAACAGATTCTTAAAGCCACTTAGAGAGGTCAAGGTCGAGAGCTTCAAATCTTTTTGTAAGATATTCCAGGAAACAGGAGCGGAGTAGGAGAAGGCCCTTTTGCCTAGTTCAGTCTGCACTGAGGGAACACTGCAGTTAATAATGTCCTGAGAGCGCACGCTGTAGCTGCACTCACGCAGAGACATGTAGGAGGAGATGTATGAAGGCAGCAGACCAAGAAGAGATTTAAAGATGAAAATGTACCAGTGAGAGAGTCTGCGTGAAGTTAATGATGTCCAGTTAACCAGTGAATATAGGGTGAGTGATGGTTATGAGTTACAGCCAGTTATGAATCTTAGTGCACCATGATAGACAGCATCCAACATTTGTAGGGTTCTTGTAGGAGCATTCATGTAAATAATGTCACCGTAATTAATGGAGGGAAGGAAGGTCACAGTTACAAGGTGTTTCCTAGCATTCAGAGTTAGACAGGATCTGTTTCTGAAAAAGAAACCCAGTTTAACTTTCAGCTTCTTTATCAAGTTTTCCACATGTAGCTTGAAAGAGAGATACGAGTCGACCAAGATACCCAAATATTTATAGGAATCAACAAACTCAATCGGGACACTGTATTGCACACCGGTAGCTTAGCGCTATGTCAGTGCTGGCGGGGAGGGTGGGGGTGTGCGCCCACAGTTTGGTTTGGTAGGCAGGGCTCTCTGTTAGACGGGGCAGGGCGCCCCCGCTTGTGTAATGGTAGGGGAAACACTGCTCCTTCTATGGAAATAAGTGTTGACTACAGCTACTTCCATTCTCCTGGCAAAATCCATCATCTGTCCTTCCTGGTACAGTTTAAACCCTGCTCCAATGCTGTGAGCCTTGCTGCCCTTCAACTTGGTCTGTTGGACTCACAAAATATCTACCTTCCTTCTCTACATCAAATCATGCAGCTCTTTACCTTTGCCTGTCATTGTCCCCACATTTAGAGTTGCAACCCTCAGTCCTACATTCTTGACTTTCCTCTTCTCCCTCTGTCTGCTGACACATTTCCCTCCTCGTGGTCTTTGACTAAGGGTGCATTCACACCAGCCCTGTTTAGTCCGCTTTAATCGAACTCTAACTCGTTTTCCTAGGAAGTCCGATTCGTTTGGGGAGGTGTGAATGCGCTATCAAACTCTGTCACGGAACAAAAAGGCGAACTCTGGCCCGGGCTAAAACCTAGGTCTGGTTCCGGTAGAAGAGAACTCCAGCGCGGTTCGAGTACAGTGTGAATGTAAACAGACCGGGCACCGCTCCACAAGCAAGAAGTGGAGTACAGCGCAGGGCAAACAAACATGCATTTCTCTTACCTTATATGGAGCCGTCAGCTGCCTTGTGTGAAAAACAATATTCTCCATGGTCTTCTGCCTCATCTTCACAAGATCCTCATTTCTAGACTGGAGCAGTGGGTGGGCATCACAGGGTCAGCCCTTAAATGGTTTGGGTCCTACCTATCTGACAGAACCTTCTGTGTCAATATCAAAGATTCTAGTTCGGCATCGACAGCGCTCCAGTGGGGGGTACCGCAGGGGTCCATCCTCGGTCCCCTTCTCTTTTCTTTATACCTGCTGCCACTAGGTGCTATCTTCCGCAAACACGACATACCCTTTCATTTCTACGCCGATGATTGCCAAATTTACTTCCCCCTGAGGCACAGAGGCACACGCTCTATTCAGCCTCTTCTTGACTGCCTGGCTGACATCCGGGACTGGATGGCTTTAAACTTCTTAAGCTTCAATGAGAAGAAGTCTGAAGTCATGCTGTTCCATCCCAGTGGCTCACTCATGAACCATGACATTGACCTTTTCTCTCTAGCCCCGCTAGAGAAACAAAAGGTCACTAATCTGGGGGTGATAATGGACCCGTCCTTAAAACTCAACAGTCACGTAAACATGATGGTAAAATCCTGTTTTTTTCAGCTGAGACGGCTGTCTAAGCTGAAGCCTATACTCTCCAAAAAGAACCTTGAGACAGTGATCCACGCCTTCATAACATCTAGGCTTGATTACTGCAATTCACTTCTGTTTGGAATCAGTCAGTCCTCCATTGCTCGTCTACAACTGGTCCAAAATGCTGCAGCCCGATTTTTAACTGGTACAGGCTATAGAGAGCACATCACGCCAGTTTTGGCCTCCCTGCACTGGCTACCCATTCACCTTCGGATCCATTTCAAAATTCTCATGTATGTTTTTAAATCACTGAACAGTTCCGCCCCATCCTATCTCACTGATCTTCTGCAGCCATATGTCCCACCGCGCTCTCTGAGGTCAGCAGACCAGATGCTTCTCTCAGTCCCAGAAACCCGTCGTAAGCTCAGGGGTGACAGGGCTTTCTCTGTTGCAGGTCCACGACTGTGGAATGAGTTGCCACTGAGTGTCCGGCAGGCTCCCACACTCTCAGTCTTTAAGTCTCGCTTGAAGACCCACTTCTATTCGCTTGCCTTTAACACGGTGTGATTTGTTTTGGTCCGGTCTGTTCTCTACTCTGTTGGCCATTTTAGTTAGCTTCTGCTGCTATTTGTATCTGTATTTCTATTTTATGTTTTCCTGTCTGCTGTGCATGTTTGTGTTCTTTTGTACAGCACTTTGGTTGGCCTTGTTGCTGTTTTAAGTGCTATATAAATAAATTGGTATGGTATGGTATGGTATCTTCTGCTCATGCTGAGCCCATTTTTGAAAAATAACAAAATATAACTCCTAAAACTGCTAAAACTTGATGCCACTCCGTTTTTGTTTTTATTTCCAGAAGAAGAAGTGTCTTCAATGGTTTTTGTGTTGTTTCTTTCAGTAGTTCTTAGTGCAGCGCCCCCACAGGTGAACGGGGGAATAGGTTGGTTCAACGGGTTGGCTTGACTGCACAGTGCAGTGTGAATGCAAACGCACCAGCTCAAATGTAAACAAAATGTCATGAATATTGGTCCCCAACTGAACCGACTCTACCGGCCTATCAGGTGTGAAAACAACCTAACAGTAGTACAAATTCCACCGGCACCCTGTTTGTCATTTGTCAGCAGCACCAGTGGCAGTCATTGTTAACCCAGGCCTTGACTGATCCAGTATGGTTTTGCTTTGATGAACTCACATTATAGTTTTGGCAAAGTGTTTTTCGTCAGATGCCCTTCCTGACACAACCCTCACCGTTTACCAGGGCTTGGGACCAGTACAAGAGATACATTAGCTTGTGCTCCCTAGTGGCTGGTTGCCTGTATGAACATTTTTTTTGACAAATGCAAAGAGTACTTCTTAATTCTTCAGCATCTTATAAAAGTGTTTAATTTGTTGAGTTTGTTTGGTCATCAGTACTGCTGCAGGAGTCCTGCAGTTATGCAGAATCCACTGTGAGGCATAGTCTTACACACTGGCCTAATCTGATTAAACACCTTTTTAGTCAATTAGGAGCTCTCCCAGGGTGTCACTCTTCCATTTCTTGTCATATTTTTAATGATCTGCTAACACATATTAATGTTTTCCATTAAAACAGAGATTGATTATGGAATGAGACACTATAAATCTTAGCTGATGTATTTATCTGTGGGCTGGCACAACCTTATTTTTCATACGGCGAGCGGGTATGCGGTTTGCTTGAATGCGCCTTGTTATCATTAGCTTAATTGACATGTGGAGCCCATATTCTGTCAAAAACAATATCCAGTATAGGCAGCAAAACTAACTTATAAATCAGAGTTATCCAAGTATGTTTATCTGTAGTTTATTAGAAAACTGATTCTTGTAATGTGCGTCCATCTGACCAACACCATGTTGTGAGCATGATAACTTGAAAACTAAGTGAGTTACCAACTTCCATTTTGGTGTGTGGCTACATCCAGGAGTAAGAACGGTCTCTAGCAACAATTTGGTTGACACTTCAAAATTCAAGATGGCTGCCACCATATATGTCTATCCATGTGTCCTGCAAGCTGGATAGCTAGTAAAATAGACAACGTGCCAACTTCCATTTTGGTGTGTAGCTGCTTCTAGAAGTAAGATAGGTCACCATCGAAAAATTATTACCACGTCAAAATCTGACTGATTTTAACAAAGAGTGATGACAATAATGGACAGCAACAACAACAACAACAACAACAATAGACAATCATAAAGGATGCGTACAAATTCAAACTTTTTTTTTAACAAGTGAAAATAAAATGGCAACCAAAAGGACAGTCAAAAGGAAAAAGTAGCGAAAAAAACCCAGCTAGATTATAAGGTGGTGTAGAAAACTAATAACAAGAACATGTCTGCAATGTTTTTTGCCAGGAACTTAGCAGATGTTTTTGAAGGCACTTAGAGATGTCAAGGTTAAGAGCTTCAGATCTTTTTGCAAGATATTCCAGGAAACAGGAGTGAAGTAGGAGACGGCCCTATTGCCTAGTTCAGTCCTCACAGAGGGAACACTGCATGTAATAATGTCCTGAGAGCGCACGCTGTAGCTGCACTCACGCAGAGACATGTAGGAGGAGATGTATGAAGGCAACAGACCAAGAAGTGATTTAAAGATGAAAATGTACCAGTGGGAGAGTCTGCGTGAAGTTAATGATGACCAGTTAACCAGTGAATACAGGGTGCTACATACAATATACAAACAGATGAGAAAAAAAAAAAAAAACATGAGGATGGAGGAAGCCAAAAAATAAATCAAGACTCACACCATTTCCTGGCTGGGAAACGTGAAAGATGAAAAAAAAAAAAAAGATCTCTCAACATAAAGCTGCAAAATACAATGACATCGTAATACGTTTATGCATAGAGGTTGACAACGCCGGTGAGTTATCGATAAACTTTCCAGAGTTCCAAAGTTCTGATAAGATGGTATAGTGTCTATCAGCATCATGGTTCTGATAAGCCCAAAGATGTCCTCGGGGGAGATATATATCTATATATACAGCCAGATTAGTGGACATTCTGCACGGTCCATGCTCGATTTAGCATTCTCCAAGATTGAATCCTTCATGCTAGTGAGTTCCAGGAGCCTCAAGTGGCCTACGATTCTATGAAATCGCATCCAGCCTGTGGTTGAGCTTGGTTAACATATGAGTTTAAGAACTTGAGACACGGATTAGTCCATCACATAAGGCTGGCAGCTTTACCATGGCTGAAACTGCTGCCAACATCTTCCTAGTTTGTCGATATCCAAGGTATCCACTGATTCCAAAAAGCAGAAACCCTGTCATCATAAATCCAATAATGTACACATCTTCTACGTCCTCCAGGGACAGAACAGATAGACATACCATCTTCCACTCATTCCAGGAATCCATGACATACCCAGCTGCGAGGGTCTGTTCAGGTCATGAGTGCTCTCCAGCACCCTGTTGTCTGGTGGAAAAAAATTTATCAATTGCGTTGAGGGACCAACTGACCAAATCCATGATAATTTCCGATTCACAATATGTGTAAAGAGAGGCTCTGAGGTTGACAGGACAGAGCAAAAAGCAGGAGGGAGGGTAACTCCTATCTACTTGAATGTCTTGCACCAAAAACTTTAGGGTTTGCTTGCATTCCCTGCTCAATTCCAGTCCAGGAAAAATGCTCATCTCAAAAATTACAAACATTCCCAATTCAAATCCCTCAACGACAGGGGACATTGGTGTACCACTTGTAAAATGTATATTTAACATTAAAGTCCCCAAGCTGACGAGATTTGTTAGCTACATAACACTAAGCTGTTGTATTGCTGTAGATATTAGAAACTTTTTGCAAATGATTTGTATTTCTTGTGTGCTCATCAGTCAAAAATCTATAACAATTCTGTTAAATATTTAAACATCCCGAGACTTCATTTACAACGACTAAAGATTGAGTGCTGTTTTTGAGGCTATTCTAAAAGTGAGTTGGTATTTCCTTTGATATAAATGGCTCTAATCACCTATTGCTTTTCCAGTCAAAGCCATACTTTATCTGACTGATTGACCAGTTATTTTATTTGACAAGGTTTTCTGTGATTAATCACTCCTTTATAGTTTGTTGAAACTAACAATGCCAATACAACCTAACATCCCTGACTATATGTTCCTCTTATCGTGCCTCTTTTTTTTTCTCTTTGCAGCACTGATTCAGTTGATGGCTGCTGCAGAAGCTGGGAGAGACGTTGCATACTTCACATTTGGAGATGCTCAGCTTATGAGAGATGTTCATGAAGTTCACATTTTCCTCACTGAGAGACAAGTCACCGTAGGTGAGATGCTCAAAACTAAATATATATAGTGATTTGCTTGTAGGCATTTGACTTTCTGGGCCAAATTTAGTGCAGTTTATTAAACTATTACAGCTCTGGTTGAATTAGCTGCCTTTTACCAAAATGATTCACTTAGTCCCAACAGAGCTCATCTTTTTTTCTGTCCAGCCCCACATGAAAGATGCCATACATGTTGACTCTGAATGATTTTTAGTAGCTGTTATTAGGCTTTTCTGGCACACACAGGCTGTTTTTGTTGGCATCAGTACAGTGACGGTGTGCTAACAAATAACAGAACGCAAGTTGGTCCACCTTTATTGCCCATCGCTGCGTCTCAGTCCATCCATTCAGCCTCAGCCACAGAGTGGATTACAGCCTGAACTGACCCCCGCCTCGGCTCTCCCTCCCCCACCTCTTCATTTTTCGTTGGTTGACATTTATTGAAGCCTTTCAGAGAAATTCCCCTCTAGCCATCTATTTCCTAAAGTGGAGCTACAGAAAAAAAAAAGCTTATGGCATGTGTGTGTAGGTGATTTATTAATGATGTCAAACATATGTTTGTTTTTCCTTTTTTCTGCTATGTAAAAACATAAGTCTCTTACTTTGGTTCTCTAAACCTGTTTGGTTTAAAAGTTTCTTTTTTCAATCCATATGTCATCTTTCCCTTGTACTCTTCACCATTGTCTTTTTCCATTCCAGGCCAGCTGTACAGTCTTCTGAACCAGTACTTTGACGACGTGTGCAAGAACTGCCACATGAGTCGACCGCACGTCAGCCTCTACGATTTCATCTACACAAAAGTCTCTTCGCTTGCTCTGAATCCTGGGACGTCACCTGTCATGGCAGACTCTCACTAACAGGAAAACAACACAAACCTTGTTTCACTTTCTGCCTCGATAAGAGAGATTCCAGGTTCACAAACTTTAATGCGCTTAAAATCACTTTTCACACACACACAATCCCTTTAAGTTTGTAGTCCCAACACACAAACTACCAAAGCAGGGTTTTGCCTTTTAAAACTGACTGTATTACAGGAGCCTCATAGTCTGATGAAATATTTAAAATATGTATAGCAATAGTAAGCCTTTGTTGCTGTTAGAGGCCTTTCTTTAGCTTAAATGTGATTTTGAATTCTTTATTTTGTAAACACGTTACAAATATGGCCAAATATTCACTATATGCATGATTATGGAAATGTTTCACCTCTGATTCTTTAAGACATGATAGTCCCTGATTACCTTGTCTTTATTTGTTTTTGCTCCTTTTTTGGATGATCTGTTTTCTGTTTGTCATACCTAAACTGTAGTGAGCTCCTTCAATGTTGAAAGACAATGAGACCTACCCTATGCATGAGTAACATTTATTTATCAGATATTCTCCAGATATTTGCTGCTCTTTTTGTCCTCTATGATATTTAAGTTCAACATGCATGTGTTCTTATGAGTCAAAACAATATTTTCTAATATTAAAATCATCTCAGATGGAAAATACAGGAAATCCCTGGTCAGTCATTGTTGACCTTAATTCTAAACTTTATAATTAGTGCTAAGCACAGTATTAGTACCGTACATATTTCTATATGGGGAAATGGATAACAAAATGCACGGAAATCAGTATTTTTGTTATGATTTTTACCCAACATTCATTTTTTGATGTATTATTTACAGTATTTTCTTACAGTTTTTGATTTATTGAATGATTGGTTTTAGACTAGATTTGCGGCTGTAAATGTATATGGTTCATAATTGTATTTGAGGATTTTAGGTTGTAATGTTTTTTATTATTTCCTAATTAAAGCATATCTTAGGAATAAATGTGGTTTCGCTACTTAATTCAATGTTTGCGAACTTGAAAAAAAATCAAGCAACATAGTTTTGAGCTATTTATTTTTATTTAAACTTTTCAAATGCTTCATTTAGATTAACAAAAGCATTTCAACATGAGCTAAAAGTGTATGTGCTGTATTATGTAGGGATTTTCACATGGGGGTGGGGATGGATCATTTTAGTGGGGAAAAAAGTTGTTTTTGACACTGACGTTTAACAAGTCTTTTCACATTTTCTTTTTGTAAAACCATAACTTATTTAATAATTTCAGACGGATTGATTTTTGCAGTAGCACACGCACCTCCGAGAAATTTCATTCGACCTTCAGACATACTTTATTAGATGAATTAGGGTTTCTAAATAACCTCATGACGTGGACGTCCGTAAATGGCGTGTAGGCTTTGCTGTTGTAAGTGGATTACACATTAGCTGCCTCCCCGACTCTTTGTACTGAGCCCTGCATTGAGCAAATGAGCTGTGGCCTCATGGACAAAGTCAATTTAGTTGGGCAGACCTAGGAATTGAGGCCTGCTCTGGTCCTTGTTTATGCTGGCCTGGACTTTTTTTGGACAAATCTACTGGATTAGAAATTTGGACACCTAATGTTGGCTAAACATGGCAACCAAAAACTACAAATGAATGATAACGATGTGCAACAGATTTAAACTAGAAAATCTGCGCGAATTAACTAAATATACACTAAGCACTCATAATGTTTTATGTTATGAGTGCTTAGTGTATATTTAGTTGATGTTTTTCTTGGTTCATATCTTAGATGTTATTACTGTTTTTCTTACACATTTTATTGTTGGATGTAACTGGCACCCTGTGTACATAATTTCGCTCCACCACATGTACCACATGAGGTGCGAATGACAAAGAATCTCTGACTCTGAATTCTGAGAGCTAAATTTTTAGAAGCTGAAAATGTGTTGTTAAAGATAAAGAACAGTAGCTAAAAGTTAAATTAGCAAAAGGCTTGATAATAGCCAAAATAAGCAAAAAGTTAGCTAAAAGTAACCTCATTAGCTAAAAGCTTAAAAGTAGCAGAAAAAGCTAACTAAATACTAAAACCAGCATAAGACAAAATATGAAGTATGATGCAGATTTCTGAGGACAATAAATTCTGATGTTTATAAGTAAAATATTTGCAAATAAAGTTAAATATTTTGAAAGGTATTAGAAAAAAGTCAGAGCACCTATTTGCGAAATAATCTGAACGTTTTGAAATATAAATGGCTGAAATAGCACAGAGTATACAGAAATACTCATAGTATAGAAAATAAGAAAACTGCTAAATCAGCATTCTGTACGAAAATAGTCACTTTTTTTTTATCCCATTCATATGTCCCATTTATATCACCTAGAAGAATAGTCTTAACAGCTGAGTACGTTTGGGTCTGTGTAGTGATTATTTTAAGAAGGGCGTTATTTAACGTTATTCCTGTAATGTTACCCTGCGGCACCTTTCTTCTTTCTTTTCGCGGTTGAACGTTATTAATAAAATGCCAAAAAGCAGCTGGTCTTTACTCCATCTCTGTCAGGCGGCAAAGTCACGACAACAAAGTGGCATTTCAATTCATAATTGCCTGACCTCGCATTCTCCAGGTCAGATAGCAAAGATGAAGACAAGTCTCTAGAAAATAAAGTATTTAAAAAATGCTAATTCTGTTGCGGGTTAAATGTTTGTTGTATTTTATAAATAAATGGTTGCACTATATGCTACTTGGATTAAAAAAAAAAAAAAAAAAACATTGCCAATGCTGAAATTTAGTTCTGCCTGCAACTTGCACTCACTTTATTTCTTCTCCTTTTCATAGACGTTTGTCAGGATTAATCGTAATGTTCAGTGTGTGCCTGTAAGTATGAATGATGAAAATCTAGATGAGGAGGGGAGTCGTGTTGGAGTGGAGGAAGAAAAAGCAAAAAGGCTGCTGGAGGAGGAGGAGGGAGGGCCAATTATCTTATTGTTAAACCCATTCTAGGTAGTGGCACATCAATCTGGAAACACTTGCTCGTATGACTCATGTTCAGCCTCTATAAAAGTTTAATTGGCTTGTATAATTAATACTGAAGGAAACAGCATGATGGATCTTAGATGGAAGACCGACCTGTCGGCTCACCAGTATAAACCAAATTATGTACTGCTAATGTTATGGCCTTAAAAACAGCAACGGCAAAGAGCTGCCACATGCCTGTCTGTACCTGCTGGGCACTGAAGCCAAACATGGATGCAGTGAATTTACAGCCAAATAAAACACAGGTGATATGGTCCACATCTCTTTTTCCATGAAACCCTCTTTAAAAATCTAAAAAAGTTCAGACTGAAGAAGTCTCTCGGACGAGAGACGAAACATTTCTACATTTTCTGTTGTTTTGCTTTGTTTTGGGTTTTTTTGGATGTCCAGAGGACCAGATTTAACTTTTTTAGATTTTTCTACCTGGATTATTGAGCATGCATCAGGATACCTCTTTAAAAATGTTGGGAAGATTATGAAGATTTATGTCAAGGGTTTAAAGGTCCAGTGGAAAAGCAAATTATGTTGGAGTTTTTGTTATTTATTTGTATTTTGTTTAAAACCGGACCATTGTGTTTGATGCCAATGCACCATTGACCAGTACACAGGTTTTCTAGCCAAATGCTAATGCATTTGTGTATTTTCTAGTTATTAAAAACATGCAATGTAAAGATTAAAAAAAAAAAAAAATCAGATTTTCTTTTTTAAAATTTAAAGCGCAAACAGCACAGTGCTTTTCAGATTTAATGTATAAAATAAGGACACGGAGTACTTTGCAAACATTTTAACTCGGCTCTTATTTTGTTAGACTGGTTTTGCAAACTATTTGATGCATGCTTTTTCAACTAGAGAGCCACAAGTTACCCCATCCCTAAAGCACACACTGCATTTTGTATTGTACCTTAAATCAGAACATAGATTCACAAAATGAGCTTCTTGTTCTGTTGAAAAATACTTAAAGGACATAAATTGTTATAAAAGAGATAACTAGATTTTCTTTCGTTTCTGTTATCCATCTATACATATACATTAAATAATTTTTCTTGGGTGTCAAAAAGGGCCAATAATTAATCTAAAAACTTAGATCAGAAAAAGTTGTTCAATTTTTTTAAAACAGGGCCACTGTGTTTGATGCTAATGCACCATTGGTCAGGTCTTCCAGCCAAATGATGCTAATGTATTTGGTTTTGTCCAGTTATTAAAAAGCATATATTTTTATATAGAAGACGAAGAACTGGACTGTTGCTCAGTAGTCCAATGTCTTTTTTTTTCCAGATTAAAATAAAATTTGCATGTCATCTGAAAATCAAGGTATTATATGGAAAGAGGGTTGTATGGAAAAAGAGCTGTGGACCATATCACCTGTGTTTTATTTGTCTGTAAAATGGACTAAAAGATACAGATGCACCTCAAAAAATTAGAATATCATGAAAAAGTTCTTTCTTTTTGTTGTTAATTTCAGAAAGTTAAAAAGTTAAACTCATACATAGATTCTTTGCACAGAGTGAAATATTTTTTGTCTTTTTGTGTGTGTAATTTTGATTATTATGGCTTACAAATAATGAAAAGCCAAAACTCAGCGTCTCAGAAAATTAGAATATTACTTGCTCAGCTTTTGGTTGCTTTGGCAGGGAGCTGAGTCCTGCTGGAAAATAAAATCAGCATCTCCATAAAGCTCGTCAGCAGAAGGAAGCATGAAGTCTCTAAAATGTCCTGGTAGATGCTGTGTTGACTGTGGACTTCAGAAAACACAGTGGACCAACATCAGTACAGGACATGGCCCCAAACCATCACTGACTGTGGAAAATTCACCCTGGACTTCAAGCAATGTGGGTTCTGGTCCTCTCCATTTCAACCAGACTCTGGAATCTTGATTTACAAATGACATGAACATTTGCTTTAATCTGAAAAGACGACATTGGACCACTGAGCAACAGTCCAGGACTTTGTCCTCAGCAGGTAAGACACTTCTTATGTCTCTGGTTCAGGAATGGCTGGACTTGAGGAATGAGACATTTGTAGCTCATGTCCAGGAGTTAATGAGCTGATCAGGGAGTGACACCAGGAGTTTACAATACTGAACCTTTTCACAATATTCTGAGACGCTGAATTTTGTTTTTTCATTATTTGTAAGACATAATCATCAAAATGACAAGAAATAAAGGCTTGAAATGCACTGCCTGGCCAAAAAAAAAGGTCA